CAGGGATTTACCATAAGAAGCTAGCTAGCCCAGGAACGCAGGCTTCTCGCTGTTCCCCGTCTTCCTGAAAAATAAAAAGATCCAGCTTTCAAGCAGTAGTTCGTATTCTTGCGCTGGAGCTCTCCCAGCGGGGAAATCGAATCCTTGAAAGAAAGGCATTTTGGCACCTTTCAACATTTGTATGTCATCCAAAAATACTTGTGAGTGAGTTGGGTGGCTTCTAACTTTGGAATGTGTTTGTGTAAAAATATCTTGGCAGGAGGTACGGTGGTAGATGGTAGATCTGAACTTGTCCCTCCTAGGGGACAAGTTTTTCAGTACCCCATTGCCTCTTGAAACAACGTTAGCTCAAAGCCCTCAAAATTAGCAATATGCCATCAAGGTGGTGCTGACTTTAAGGTCAAAATAGACAGTTTTTCTCCTTGACAATCTGTCAGCAACTTGGTCCTTCTGATCTTCCAGTATGGCACCCATCACCACCTGTCTATCAACCTTGCTGTTGCTTATCTTCTTTTTTTCTTTCCTACCTTTCCCAGCATTGTTAACTTCTCTGAAGAATGAGGTCTTCACATGTTGTGTCCAAAAGATTATAATTTGAACTTGACCATTTAGTCATGCATCAAGTGAGAACTAAGGGTTCATTTATTCAATGATCCATTTTTTTGTTTTCTTGGCCAGCCATGGTATTTTCAGGAACCTTCTACAACACTGAAGTTCCATATCTTTAATACTTTTCCTTTTCTATTTCTTCAATAGAAATGTTTTTACTTCCATTGACTATCACAAAAAAATAAACAAACCCATTGATTTAATGATTCTGATTTTTGTAGCCTGCATATGACATCCTAAGGCAAGAGTCTTCAAACTTGGCAAGTTTAAGACTTATGGACTTTAACTCCCAGAATTCCTGAGCTAACATGACTGGAGGAGGAATTCTGGGAGTTGAAGTCCACAAGTCTTAAAGCTGTGAAGTTTGAAGACCCCTGTCCTAAGGCCTCTCAGGCCTTTATTACTACTGTACCAAGTTCTAATCTACAGCCTGCTTCTTCCTTTACTCTAAATAGTTGATAGTTGAAAGGCAAAAGCTATCTACTGTTTGAATATCTTTATTCTCAGTTCTAAGACTGATTGCTGTACTTGTTGCAATTAATTTGGTCTTATTTATATTTAATCTTAGTCTCTTTTTCAGCTTGCTCCTTGGCTTTTATTACCAGAGCTTGCAGATTATTTGCATTTTCAGCCTTCAGAGTAGTGTCATCAGCAGAGTACATGCTGATTCTTCTTCGAGTTTTAAAACCTGACTCATCTTTTTCCAATTTGCTTCCCTCAATATATATTCAGTGTATAATCTGAATAAATAAGGGGAGAGTATACACACACAGCATTTTCTTACTCCTTTGCTAACTAGGAGCTATGTTCAGTCTGGACTGCAGTTTTCTGACATGTGCATTGGTTTCGCATCAGGTCAATACAGTGTTTTGAAGTTTTCATTGTTCTGAGCACATTCTGCAGCTTGACATAATTCAAAGTCTTATCTTCAATGAAGCACATATTAACGTACTAGCTCTATACCCGTGTTTCACTATGAAACTATGTTGGGGCTTAGTTTTTAGGAAGGAAAATAAGGGGGAGGGGAAATTATATCTCTGCCTACCAGCATCCATCCAGATGGATTTGCAACTGGCTGGCAAACCGTACTCAATGAGTAGTCCTTAATGGGTCTAAGTCTACATGGAGGAAAGTAAGCAGTGGGGTGCCACAAGGTTCCGTCTTAGGCCCAGTACTCTTCAATATCTTCATTAACGACATAGATGAGGGAATAGAAATGGACTTTACCAAATTTGCAGATGATACTAAGCTGGAAGGAATAGCTAACACCCAAGAAGATAGGCTCAAGATCCAGATGGATCTTGACAGACTAGAACACTGGGCCATATCTAATAAAATGAAAATTCAATATAGAGAAAAGTAAAGTCCTACACTTAGGCAAGAAAAACCAAAAGTATACATATAGACTGGGCAAAACCAGGCTTAATAGCCTTCAGAGGGATCTATGAGAGGGATCTTGGAGTCTTGGTGGATAACCAACTAAATATAAGCAAGCAGTGTGCAGCAGTAGCCAAAAAAGCTAATGCAATCCTAAATTGCATTAAACAGAGGGATTCTATCAAGATCAAGTGAGGTACTAATGTCACTCTATAAAGCCTTAGTAAGACCAGACCTAGAGTACTGCATCCAGTTTTGGTCACCACACTATAAAAAGATGTTGAGAATCTAGAAAAAGTACAGAGAAGAGTAACCAGGATGATTAGGGGACTGGAGACTAACTAAAACATACGAAGAATGGTTACAGGAACTGGGCATGGCTAGTCTAGTGAAGAGAAGGACCAGGGGAGACACGATAGCAGTCTTCCAATATTTGAGGGGCTGCCACAGAAAGGAAGGGGTCAAGCTATTTTCTAAAGCGCCTGTAGGCCAGACAAGGAATAATGGATGGAAACTGAACAAGGAGAGATTTAACCTGGAAATGAGGAGAAACTTTCTGACAGTGAGAACTACCAACCAATGGAACAGCTTGCCCTCAGAAGTTGTGAGAGCATCATCACTTGAGATTTTCAAGAAGAGACTGGAGTCCCATCTGTCAGAAATGGTGTAGGGTCTCCCGCTTGAGCAGAGGGTTGGACTAGATGACCTACATGGTCCCTTCCAACTCTGATTATCTGTTATCTGTATTCATCTGGCTAGCATCCTGTCAGAGTTGAGGGCTGTTTGGAAACTGAAACATGGAAACTGAAACAGTATTTGCTGTGTGAGCAAGAAGGAATCAGCAAGGAGCCTGGGCGTGGCTTAGCTCAACTGTTCTGTCCTAAAGCTGGTTGCTGCTCTGAAACTGAAACTCCTCTGTGTTTTGCATTTGGAACAGATTTCTTTTCAGGTGGGGAGGGGGAGTAGAACTCCTTAGCATCAGTGTGTGTTAATAATAATATACAAAATACTAATGCTCTGATGATCATTTCGAAAAACCCTTTATTAGTGAGCACCTAGAAGCCAAGAGGAATGTATGTGCCAAATTTCAAGTTTGTAGGCTTTACGGTTCTGGAGATTTTGTGATGATGCGTGAGTGGTATTTTGCTTTTATATATAGAAATTTTGGAATTCTTTGGCTTTTATAATTATTCACCTTATAACAACAATAATGTCTTTTTTTCCTTGGTCTTTTCTAAACCCAGCATGAACATCTGGCGTTTCCTTTCCATAGAGACCCATGTTCTATGCTGCATGATCCTAAACATTATTTTCTTATGGTGCAAGCTCCCACTGTCCTTGCAGCTTCAGATTTTCTCTCCCTGCATGGCAACATCAGCAATTAGACATCCCAAAGGCTTTAATTTAACTTGTCATAAACACAATTAGTACCCTGAAAGATCTTCAGTGCCATCTCATATGAGAAGTTCATTATTTATTTATTTATTTATTTAACATATTTCTATGTTGCTATAATCAAAATTATTCTTGATGCCTTATATCTTAGAAAGCTTTTAACTCTTGTTTAGCTTTTGGATTGACTATTGCCAGATTCCTTGCCACATGACTCTCAATGCCTTCTTCCAATACCTTTCTAGAGCTTTTTTCTTTTCCTTGTAATTCGAAACAATCCCCCCCAAAATCCAGATCAATAACTAAGGCAATGTTTAAAATACATTTGCATTGTTGCAAACTGAGTACACATATCTGAGTACAGATATTCAAGTTTTACATCTAGTCCTGCTACTGAGAATTCACAGGTCTGCATCTATTCTAAACAATGATTTTATAACTTTTTAATACTAAGGCAGCCTCCTCTTTGCTAATTGAGAAACTGTAGTCCAAGGTAAAAGTATGCAAAATGCTGTAAGCAGAACAATTTTCCGCACATACGTTCCAAAGGATTTTGCTGCAGGCTGAAAGACCTGTGGTTTTGAGGCTCGTGAGTGAGTTGCTTTTTTAATTGCCTAAGGAATATAGCCATAGTGACCTTCCTGAATGCTGTTGGCTTTGACTGGTGACAGGAGATGCAAAGGAGGCCCCTACCAACCTGAGGGCACAGAGAGCCACTTCAAATTATTGAAATGATGAAGTAGAACAGATAAAAGTTAAATCGTGACAATAGGGTGAAAAAATAAATAGTAAATATAGTGCTTATGTTCCGGCGCTTGCCCCTACCTAATTAAATGATAAGCCTCGAGCCAAGCTTCAATGAATTAAATTTAGCACACACACCCAGCTTATATGAATTAAATTTAGCTTCCCCCAGCCCCAATTAATAAAAAAGGAAAGTTCCTATAGTACATATAAATATCTATAAGGAATTAATTCAGTTGTTGAGTTTATAATCTTAACCATATAGAACAGCGGCCAACAACCGGTGGGCTGCGGCCCACTGTTGGTCCGAGAGAAAATTTTGGTGGGCCGCAGAGAAATGTCCTCCCAAAAGCAATTAATCCAGGCTGCGCGGGAACACCCACCCACTGGCCCCCACCCTTTGGCTGAGCACAAACCTGCAAAAAGCAGCGCAGCCCTCGCCAGCCAGGACAAGGTGATGGTGCTGTTGCAGCAAGAGGGGGCTGGCGGCCCAGGCAGGCTGAAACGGCGATGGAGATGGACAGAAGGTGCAGGAGCACTGTGCTACTTTCATTTGCACGGCGCTCCCGCACCTTCCAGCTCGCCTCTCCTGGCCTGGGCTCTTCCTCGATGGCTGTGGGCTGTAGGGATGGCCCAGGGCAGGAAAAGTACCAGTTGGTGGTGGTGGGAGGGGGCAGACTGGGCAAATCTGCACTCAGCATCCAGTTCAGAGGTCCAGAATAGGGCGGCGTTAGCGGTGTCAGTTTTCTCGTCCCGGCGCTCTGCTCTAGTGCCCCCCCCCGCACAGCCCCAGCCATTGCTGCCCTAAGAAAGTACAGGAAAAGCGAGCAGAAACATAGCTCTCACTGGGG